AATAAGGGCCTCTCAAAGACCCCTGGAACCTGCAAATATGTTACCTGGCATGGCAAAAAAGATTTTACAGATGTGATTTACGGTCTGTATTTTAAGATGGGTGGGTAGTATCCTGGGTTACAAGGCGGTCCAAATGCAATCAGTGCATAGCAGCTCTTTCAGCTGTTGTTAGGGAAGGAAGGAGGAGGGAAGGAGGGAGGGAGGGAGAGAAAGAAAAAGGAAGGGAGGGAGGGAGGGAGGGAGGGAGGGAGGGAGGGAGGGAGGGAGAGAGAGAGAGAGAGAGAGAGAGAGAGAGAGAGAGAGAGAGAGAGAGAGAGAGAGAGAAGAGAACAGTGAGGACAGGATCAGAAAGATGTGATTTGAGAGGATTCCACCTGCTGCTGCTGCTGGAGGAAGAGATCCAAGCTAAGGAGTATAGAGATGTAGGTGGTCTAGCAAAAGCTGCACAGAAGATTCTGTCGTTGGTTAGTAGCAAAAGGGCAGCATAGAAACACCTACAATTATTCAGAGTTGGCACATACTTCCTTGTGTTATACTGAAAGCAACAAATGAAAGAAAAGAGGGATGAACTCTAAACTACAGGTTGGTGAATGGAGGTCAATTTATGGATGATTCAGCTGATGCTTGAGCAAAGGGCCAGAAAGATGTAATGAAAGAAAATATGAAATTGTAATAAAAAGTTGGCTCACTTTCTTAATCTATGGAAATAAGATCAACCTGACCTAAATTAACTTTGGCCCTAACATTTCACTATGATTTGAGCCACTCACTGAAATTAACTGGTAAATGGCACAGCGATGAACTATTTTTGGAAAGTTACAGTGTGATCATGACTCAGATCAAGGACTGAGTGACAAAGTGAACCAGAAAACGGATGTCATGGGCAGACAGGCTAGGGTCTGGGAGTCAGTACATACTGAAACAGGACAGAGAAAAACTCCAGGGGGAACTTATAAGCTTGCAAATGTGGCCTTTCTCTTTCCAAAATAGCCTCATTTTGGGAAAAATCTGAGCTTATGGGGAATATAGCTGTTTCCTATTACTCTTTCTGGTATATTTTTACTATAGGGACTGAATATGAGTGACATTTAACATAGGTCATTGAAGGATACCAGGAAAATACCCTTTTGATTATTAACTAACTGCCTGGGCATAGTTAAACCACATTTTGTGCGTTTGATTTCCCCCTTTGGGTGCAAATAGTCACTTGTTCTGCCCCCTATTAGATACAGATAGTGGATAAAGTCTAAATTTTCAATGCACTGTGGCATCAAGAGAAAAAAAATTACCTCTGCACTAATAAGCAACTGAGATCTTCCCTGTGGTTGGAGAATTTTTAAGTTAGAAGGAACTTTGAGCGAGGCTTTGTAATTTTTACTGGTCATTCCAATTGAGATGACCAAATATGTATCATGGCCAGGCACTATGGAGCATTTGGACAGAGATTAAATAACATCCAGTCCTTGATCTGATGGAGTCTAAATATAGTATTGTAGGCAGAAGTGATGTATGTTATAGTGAGATAAGAGTTGTGTTAGATGTCTCAGTTTTTAGTGCCAAGCAATAGTAAGAGATTTTGGCTAATATAAATTGGAGAACAATTCACCATACTCCAGTTCTACAATTGCTGGAAAGGCTGGAGAATCAGGCACAAAGCTTGTGAACCCACAGCAGCTGCCAGAATGCACTCATGCTGGTGAGTAAATTAGTTGTTTCTGCTAAGCCCCAGAAACTAGTTTGTATGACCCATCACTGAAAGTCTCTGACTGTGCTCTCCATGGCTGCGACAGCTACTTCCAAGCAGGACATTGTTTGAACAGCTGCCTCTGTTTACCACCATAGTGGATTCTGTTGTCTCTCCTTCTGTGTACCATTGTTGGTCCCAGATAGCTGTGTCTGATTAGCCATTCTAAGTGCTTTGCCTCTCCCTTATCTCCCAGGCTGGCCTGACAGTAAGTCACTGGCATTTCAGCTTCCATGTTGATTGTCACCATTAGCGTGAGGGTGGATGAAGCAGATTATAAACATCAGCCTTCTTTGGCTTAAGTGATCTTTTGGGTGACTCCTTTTTAATTCTCAGTCTTTTGTTTTCCCTCCCTCCTTAACGGTTTCTTTCCAAGATGGTACCTGAGTATACGGTAGGAGAACAGACATAACATTATGTGTAGAAAAGAAGGGGGTCTGATGTTCGGGTGATGCCCTCTGGGTCCTGGCTGATCGCCTGCTGTGGAGGAGTCTGGTTTGATTCTAGTGCTTGACTAACAGGCCTTCTTGTAGCATGGCACAAGCATGGCATCCACTGATGGATGATTCTTACAATTTTTCTGGAGCCACAAAGGCATAGTGTAACCTCTTTGTCCTAACCCCTGGCATTTGCAGGTTCACTGGACCTCTTGGCACCTTCACATTCCCATACTGACAGATGGGATTAGTCCTTGATAAGCTCTCCCAACTGGGTAGAGAATACAATAATGTAGCCTGCCTGGCTGAACGCTGAGGCCTGCTCCCAATGTATATCATTCTAAGGACCTGCATTGTGTTTCTACTGAAGCCCCCTTAGAGCTCACACAGCCTCTGGCTTTCTTCTCCCCAGATATAGGGGAGAAGAAAAAATTCTTTTTCTACCTGTCAAGAAATAGCAGATGTACATATTATTTAGTACAATAAATATCATGGCTGCAAAATGATCATGATTTCAGGGCAGAAATGAACAAAGTATACCAACCTAGTCTGACAGCTGTATAAATCTGTACCAGAAACATGTACAAGGCAAGAAAAAAGTAAAGGATAAAAAAAAAAAAAAAAAAAAAAGATTTTTTTTTTTCTTTTTCTTTTTTTTTTTTTTTTTAAAGAAAGCAACCCTAAACTATGGGTGGAGGATGAATCCGGGACCTAGTTTCAGAGATCTTATGTTATACTCACACAGACAGGCTATGGGGCTAGCATTTCTTATGATATAACAGAGAGGAATTGGGAGGACTATCCAGACCACAGTCACCTACACTTGCCTGTCTTCCAGTCTGATGGGCCATAGAAATCTCATTGTGTGTCAGCAGTATCTAGAAAGTTCACTTCTTTTCAAGTGGCTGACAGCTAGAAGACACAGCTGAGTGTGTGGGGACCAGGAGAATCCTGTAGAAGCAGAGGTATGAGGAACTAACTGCTGAGAGAATTCCCTTTTCTGGGTATGAGAGAACAGTGATTAAAAACTATTATATTTAAAGAAGTATAAAGGTCAGAGTATTCGGGTCCGAGCTAGGATATTAGATTAAAGGGGAAGGAAACCAGAAATGCTGGAGCTGGTGATCAGAGACTCACAGATGGAGGCAAAGCTAGCTCTCCAAGATGCAGTCATGGTACTGAGGGCAGGTCACTGGGAAGCTGTTAGAAAACCTAGTACACAGCATGAGGCAGAGCTAGGGAAGCAATGAGTACTGCCCTGCAAGCCTTCATTCTGGGGACTGTCATATTTCATACCTTAGCTTTATGCACATGGGGTTGCAGAAGCCACAGAGGAATTTTGAAAATAGTATGCATAGAGCTTTTAAAGTGAAAATGTTCTCTGAGAGAGATAAAGATGGCATTGGGTACTAAAATCCAGCTTAGAGTTAATATCCCAGTTATTTCATTGATCATCAGAAACAGCTACATGCCAATTACTGAGTTAGTAAGGTGGGAATAAAATAAGGGCTTGCCTTCAAATAGGGCAGTAGCCTTGACTGTGTGTACACACATGTACACACAACAATGAAACAAAATATAACATCTGTTAGGAAGGACTAGATAAAGTACTATGTTATTTATTAAGAGGGAGAGAATAATTCAGATTAGGGCCGACTGGGGAGGACTTCTTAGAGAAGGGTTTTTTTCATTAGGATTTGAAGGAAAGAAAAGATTATTTTGAAGGAAAGAAAAGAACATTTAAAGGTGGGCAAAAATAGTCCCGGGAGAAGAAACGGCAAGGAGAACCAAATCTGCAGGGTTTGTGGAAATAGAAAACCATTTGTTTTTAAAGGAATATCAGTGACCTAAGGGAGCGTTGGGGTCTGGGCAGGAGATTGAAGGACCTGTGACAAAGGAAAAAGAATGGTTCAGTTAGGCTTACAGGATAACCCAAGGGGAGAAATGTTAGCGGTGCTCTGGGTGGATAGGTTGGGCAGCAGGGAGCCCCGTGGAGAGGTGGCATGTAGAAAAGGAGAGAAAAGTACACAAAAAGGAAAGGAATTTATCCTGTGTCATTATCCTGTTATTTTATCTGAAGCCTTCCATTGAACGTTTGGGCCCGACCCAAGCCAATACCTTGTCTGTATCTATTTTTCTGGGCTGTGTCCAACAGAAAATAAAGACTAGCAACAAATCCTGTATGAAAACCCTTTTCTTAGTTTTTATTCATTTGTTTTCAATACTCTATGTTCCTGATGTTGCAAAGAAGTGAAACAATTGTTTCAACTTCGGTTTTAAAATTATTTTTTTTCTTTTCCCCCCTCCAAATTTCTTGTTCCTGAACAGAAAGTAAGAAATAATGCTGGATTATACAGAAGGAAAACATTATATGAAGAAATGGAAAGGAAAATGGAAGGGAATATCAACAAGCGTTCTATTTTGCTCACATTTTTTAAAGCAAATTTAACAAAATCTAAGCTATTTTGGAAGATGAAGGTCTTCATTATGCCTGTGGCGCCTCTGAGTGACAGTCATAGGGCTGATACAGAGGCTTTTAGTCCTCCCTGGGAAGCCTTCATTCGCCTGCCCCATAGCTCTGAATCACTGACAGAGAATCTGGTGGGGCCAGTTCCACAGCTGCATGAGGTTTTGTTGGCATGAAGACTTTTCAGTTCTTGCCAACACTGAGGGTACCTTCGTACTTCTTGGCAAACATCAAACTACTTCTGCTTCCTTTTAAGAATAGGACCATATTTATACATTGTTCTTAGACATGCCCACCTGATTACTTATTGCTTTGCTTTCCCATCTACTTTGTGTTTGCTTTTCCATTTACTTATTCTTTCTTCCTAAAGTGAAACTGTAGCCATCCACCCTCTTCTCCTGGTTTCAGGTGAGGACTTACGAATTGTGGGTGTTGTAGTCTTCTGCCTTTTAGGGTTTCTGGTTGGGCAGCCTGGAGCTACACTGGGAGGACTTCTAGTCCCAGGTGGCTCTGTAAGCTGCAGTTCGGTTGCCACATGCAGAGCAAGACACCTTCAGAGAGTGGCTTAAGCAGAGTGACTTCCATTCACTAACATGATGTTCCTGAACTGAAGAGGCTTGGGTTCATTTCCACAACTGTAAGTGTTGTTTTCAAAAATTAATATTCTTTTCACTATTGATATATAATACACATAAGAAATTGTGTCATTTCCAGAACAATTGAAGAAACTAAATGCTTCCTCCTTTCCAAGCACAGCTTTATATTTTGTGAGTTTGTTGGACATGGTTTAGAATAAACTTTGACACATGGAATACAATACCTTGAGACATGATATAAAAATAAAATAATTTATAAAAAGAGGACGGAGACATGCAGCATCCAAAATCAAATGTAAAAAAGACCACTTTGATTTGCTTCAAATATGTAGGTGATTGAAAACCTCTGAAAATTTTAACTATTTCAGAAGATAGCCAATTGTATTGAAGAGAATGTGAGCATTGAAGTCAGGTGAAGTTGGGTTCAGTGTCCCCTTTGCTTTAAATATGTGACCTTTGACAAGTCGTTGAAGACCAGGGTTTTTGTTTGCTGGAAGTTTTTTATTTTATTTTTATTACTGCTTCAATTTACAAATTTCCTCGTTTGTTAAGTTGGCATAAAACCTACTTTACTGGGTTACTAGAGTGAAATTAGCATAGTGCATTATACTAAATAGATGGTTAGACAATAACTGATAGAACATAAACTTGGTTTCTTCCTAATTAAGTTTCAGTTGAACTCCAGAAACAGATTAAAGAGACAAAAAAATATTGTATGAGTTAACTATGTGAGATATCTAGAGTAGCAAATTCATGAAAACACAAAGTAGAACAGTGGTTGCCAGTGAGTGGGAGGAGAGAGAAATAGGAAATGTTTAATGAGTGTAGAGTATCAGTTTTGCAATTTGAAGATATTCTGGAGATGGGTCACACAACATCACAAATATAACTAACACTGTTGAACTATACACTTATAAATGGTTAAGATGGTAAATTTTGTATTATATATATTTTCACTACAATTTTTAACAAGAAGACAGAGAATGTAGTGAAAATTTTCATGCTTCCCATTTATGAAGGTGTCACTGACGCCTTAAAAAATGTTCAAGACTATTTTCAGTGGATCGAACTTCAGGATTGATATTGGATCACCTATGTTTATGCCTAGTTTTTACATAACAATAATTAATAGTGATTATGATGTATTTCTGGTATATTCTTAAAGTTGTCTTGACCTTTGTGGTGATCCTTTTTATACCTTCCTTAACTTAATTATGTGATTACCTCTAATTCATAACAGTTATTTTAAATATGATTTCATGGATACTGATAGATATAGCAATTATGAAGCCATAATTATTAGTTACAACTTATTTGAAAACTTTAGATACAACCAAATATATTACTTATTGCAGTTTTCTCACATTGCCTGTAGATTATTTATAAACAGACTAGAGGCCTGGTGCACAAAATTCATGAATGGGGATGTGTGTTCCTCAGCCTAGCCTGTACCCTCTCCAATCTGGGACCCCTCAAGGAATGTTCAACTTCCCGTTTAGGATCCTATTGTAGGATCAGGCCTAAACAGGCAGTCGGATATCCCTCTCACAATCCAGGACTGCTGGCTCCCAACTGCTCTCCTGCCTGCCTTCCTGAATGCCCCTTACCACTTCTGTCTGCCAGCCTGATCACCCCCTAACCACTCCCCTGCCATCCTGATTGCCCCCAACTGCCCTCCCCTGCAGGCCTTGTCCCCCACAACTGTTCTTCCCTGCAGGCCTGGATCCCTAGTCAGCCCCAACTTCCCCCCTCTGCCGGCTTGGTCACTCCTAACTGCCCTCCCCTGTAGGCTTGATTGTCCCCAACTGCCCTCCCTTGTAGGCATAGTCCTTCCCAACTACCCTTCCCTGCAGGCCTGATCACCCACAATTGCCCTCCCTTGCAGGCCTGGTTCCTCCCAACTGCCCTCCCCTGCTGACCATCTTATGGCAGCCATCTTGTGTCCACATGGGGGCAGCCATCTTGTGTGTTGGAGTTATAGTCAATTTTAATATTACTCTTTTATTAGATAGGATAGAGGCCTAGTGCACAGGTGGGGGCTGGCTGGCTTGCCCTGAAGGGTATCCAGGATAAGGGTGGGAGTTTCCTTGGGGCGTGGGATGGCCTGGGCAAGGGGCCTGTGGTGGTTTGCAGGCCAGCCACATCCCTCAGAGACCCAAGCAGAGGCCCTGAGATCTGGGATTTATTTATCTTCTATAATTGAAACTTTGTAGCCTTCAGCGAGTTTTCTGATTCTTCCTGGTTGAGTTTTGGAAGATTATATTTTTCTAGGAATATGTTTATTTCATCCTCCTTGTCCAACTTGTTGGCATTTTTTTTTCTTTTTCTATGATCCTTCATATTTCTATGAGGTCAGTTGTTACTTTACTTATTTTGTTTCTGCTCTTGTTTACCTGGCTCCTCTCTCTTTGTTTCTTGATGAGTCTAGCTAAAAGTTCATCAGTCTTGCCCAGCCAGTGTGGCTCAATGGTTGAGCGTCAATCTATGAACCAGGAGGTCATGTTTCAATTCTCAGTCAGGCACATGCCAGATTGCAGGCTCAATCCCCACTGGAGGATATGCAGGAAGCAGTAAATCAATGATTCTCTCCCATCATTGATGTTTCTATCTCTTTCCCTTTCCCTTCTTCTCTGAAATCAATAAAAATACATTTTAAAAAATAAATGAAAGTTTATCAATCTTGTTTATCTTTTTAAGGAACCAGTTTTGGTTTCATTGATCATAGATATAGCTAATATGTATATATATGTATATATATTTTAGTCTATAACATTTATTTCTGCTCTATCTTTATTAATTTCTTCCTTTTGCTTACTCTGATCTTTTCTTGCTGTTCTCTTTCTAATTCTTTAGGCTATAAAAGTTTTTTAGTTTATTATAAGTTTTTCTTGTTTTTGAGGTAGGCCTGTAATGCTGTGACCTTCTCTCTCAGGAACACTGTGTCCCATAGATTTTGGATTGTTGTGTGTTCATTTTAATTTCTTTCCAGGAAGCTTTTGATTTCTTCCTTGATCTTGTTGGTAATCCATTCATTGTTTAATAATATGCGATTTAGCCTCCATATGTTTGAATGTTTTTAAGTGTCTTTATTGTAGTTGATTTTTAGTTTTATGCCATTGTGGTCCAAGAAGATGTTTGATATAATTTCAGTCTTCTTTAACTTATGGAGACTTAGCTTCTGTCCTTAACTTCCAAAACTTTAGAATCTAGTTACTATTTAAATAACATCAAATGTGCATAATTCAGTAATGGGAAATGTTAAGTAAATGCTATATTTGTACTGGGGGGATTTAATTTCTGTAGCAAGATTAGAAAATAATCCTTATACATGATCAAACTTTATTGAGCCTTGGAGACAAAGAAAGAAAGTTAAAGAGGCAAAAAAAAAAAAAAAATGAAGGGATTAGCTTTCTAGAAAATATGGGAAATTAAAAAGTACACGATATATTTGGTAGAGTTAATTTATCCAATCATTAACTCAACAAATAATTTCTGAACATCTATGTGTGAGCTAAAGTGTGGGATATAATATGAACAAGAAAGCCACATCTCTCCCCTTAGATGGATATACTTGAACATGTAGAATTTAGGAAATGGGGCCAAAACTATGAATGAAATGAAAGCTTGTCTGTAATTATGAAGGATTTTGAAATATCAGGTATGGAGTGTGCATTTATCCTGAAGGCACTAAGGAATCAGTGTTTGTCACTGTGAGGTGAGTGGCATATTCATTTACTTATTTGATAAACATTTATTCTACCTGTATTTTGCTTAGTGCTGGGGATATAGGGATGGAAGAGCTCCTATTACAGAGGAAGTGAAAAATACGTATAAAAAATTTGATAATGCCATGAGTTAAACAAGGCAGTGGTTGTGCAACACAGAGATTCCTAACCCAGGCTGGAGAACTGTGGTGAGAAGAAGGATGACCATGGTGAGAGATATTCCAAGATATTTTTGGGGGGAATAAATAAAATGGCTTAACATTTTTGACAACCGAGTTTAGTCTTTTATAAAATAGCAGCTATGTGCTGTTTTATTTTGACTTTAAAATGTGGTGTGTTCACTCTAAAAAACTTGAGAACCACAATCAGAATTATGGAGGATGTACATCTTTGATATAGAAAGAGAGGCCAGAGAAACAGTGTATACATTCATGTCTTTTTATGGATATAATATATATCAATGATGAATCATTTATAAAAAAAATGTTATGGGATCATTTTAATTCACTTGAGAATATACTATACATTTCCATATCATTATATAGTCTTCTGTAACATAATTTTAAATTGCTCATTATATATGATAACTTAACCAATTTTCTACTGTTAATCTTTTTCTGTAGCTGATGTTTGCTATTGTGAATAGTGCCACATGTTTGATTACTTTTAAGGTAAATTTCTAGAATTTGAATTATATGTCACATTACCCACTAAAACTCATGACCATATCATATAAAAGATATAAAGCTTTTATGGAATGTTCATAAGAGATTGAATTGATGAAACCTACATTTTAGAAACATACCCTTAAAATATTGTGAAGGGAGAATAGAAAAGATGGAGGCAGCCGAAACCGGTTTGGCTGAATGATAGAGCGTCGGTCTGCGGACTGAAAGGTCCCGGGTTTGATTCCGGTCAGGGGCATGTACGTTGGTTGCGGGCACATCCCCGGTAGGAGGTGTGCAAGAGACAGCTGGTTGATGTTTCTCTCTCATTGACGTTTCTAGCTCTCTAGCTCTCTCCCTTCCTCTCTGTAAAAAATCAATAAAATATATTTTAATAAAAAGAAAAGATGGAGGCAGCAAACTAGGTAGGATTTATAATAGAAATCTAGGTAAGAAAAAAAAATACAACCTGCACAAATGAAGTCACATTACTGATGGAATGCTGCAAAGATTTTAGAGAAATTAATTTTGCAGACATTGATAGATTGGAGTGTTTCAGGGATAATAAAGGGGTAAAATTGATTGTGGATTACCTCCCAATTTATGACATAGGTAACTAACTAGATGGATGGTATTATCCTTGCTCCCTTA